TGATCTGAAAATAGATTTTCCCCCCACGATGTAAAAAGCATCTTTTTTTGGAGGCACCCTAATGAGATGAAGACAAGCGTTATCACTGAGAGAACTTGCTCTAGCCATCTGCAGACCACAGACATTTGCTTTAAAAGGTTTTCTTTGGAGTAAGTGTTTATTATTTATTTAGTTACTACTATGAACATTTATTGAAAAAAAATTTAACCTAAGGCTGATCTCTCATCAACTGTTTGATCCACCCTTTACTCTCCTCTAGTCACTTCGAACTCTTGATCAAAGTGATTTCTCTGAAATCAACCCATTCAAAGCAACAAAAGCTTTATTCTACTCATGAGGGCAATATCACGGAAACAAAATACATTACTCAGGACACAACATAAGGCTCCTGGAATATCTTATGGAAGAGAATAGGGAAGTTACTGTTAGGTGGCATCTGGTTGGTTCTGATTCCTAGTAACCTGCCCCAGTAACAAGAGAATGAACACCGGTATGTCTTCACACCGTTGTTATGTTTGAGCCCAGTGTAGCAACCACTGAGCCCATTTAGCTCCTTGAGGCTCTTCCGCTTTCTCACTGACCCTCTGCTTTACCAAGTATGATGTCTGCTTCCAGGACTGGCCTCTGCGGATAACATGCCCAAAGTGTGTGAGATGAAGTTTTGCCATTGTACCTTTGAAGGAGTATTTAAAAAAAAATAAATATTGAGAAAAAGTTAAATTTATTTTTTAAATTATTAGTTAAAATTTATTACTAATTGGGAGTTAATACATATGTCATATCAGTCCTTAGCTCAATCGTGTCAAGCAGAGCTAAACAATTGCTTCCACAGTTTCCAAATATTCTGTCTGGATTTCCACACTTCTTTGTTCTGAAAATCCACAGTACTTTTAATATTCTTTGGCTAGCATCATAATTCAAGTGCATCAAGTGTGGCCTTCCTTATTCTTTGGCCATCTTTCACATGTCTATCAGGCAACTGAAAACATTATGGCTTATATCCAGCACGTTTAGTCCTCGAAGTGACATCCTTGCTCTTTCATACTTGAAGAGTTCTTGCATAGCAGATGTACCCAATGCAATACATCATTTGACTTCTTGACTACTGCCATCAATTAGCACTGACTGTGAATCCAAGCAAAATATGTGACAGTGACAATCTTTGCTCCATTTATCATGAACTTGGCTATTGGTCCAGTTGGGAGGATTTGGGTTTTCTTTACAGTGAGTTGTAATCCATATTAAAGGCTACTGTTGTTGATTTTCATCAGCAAGAGCTTACAGTTCCTTGCACTCATGAAGCAAGGTTGTGTCAAGTGCATATTGCGGGTTGTTAGAAGCCTTCCTCCGATCCGAATGCTACATTCTTCTTCACACAATCCAGCTTTTCTGAGTATTTGCTCAGCATACATATTGAATATGGTGAAATATACAACCATGACGCATACCTTCCTTTTAAACCATGCAGTATTCCCTTGTTTTGTTCAAGCAACTGCCCTCTTTGTCCATTTACAGATTCTGCATGAGTACAATGAAGTATTATGGAATTCTCATTCTTCTCAATATTGTTTATAGATTGTTATGATCCACCCAATCGAATGTCTTGGCACAAACCATGTGAGATCCCAACTTCAATAGCTATTTCATCAATGGTGACTCTACAATCGTCTCCCTTCACTTTGTGGCCTCCAGCCACAGTTTCTTCATTTGTCAAGGTTGAGGACGTTCCCTTTTGGCTCATCATTGAGGTAATTAATTTGGTAATGAAAATATGAATTGCGATATTTAATGTCATTAGGTAGTGCTACTAGATTTACATGATCCATTATAAAGACGCTTATCCTTTTTTAAGGGACTGCATTGTTTCTATCTTTCTCACCTTCCCTTTAAGTGAAATTTGTACTTGAGATCATCCAACAACAGCTACAGCAGCACATTGACAGGCCAGATTCCGAAGAGGATGTGAAACAAGGGATATCATTGCTGATGTCAGCTGGATCTTGGCTACAAACAGAGAATTTCACAAAGGTGTTTACTTGTGTTTCATTGACTATGCAAAGGCATTCGACTGTGTGGACCATAATAAACTGTGGACAGCCTTGAGAAGAGGAGGAATTCCAGAACTCTTCATTGTGCTCTTGGGGAACTTGTACAAGGATCAAAAGGCAGTTGTGTACACAGAACAAGGGAAGACTGCATGGTTTAAAATCAGGAAAGGTGTGCATCAGGGTTGTATCCTCTCACCATATTTGTTCAATCTATATGTTGAGGAAATCATCAGAGAAGCTGGTTTATATGAAGAAGAGTGAAGCATTAGGTTTGGAGGAACAGTAAGAACTTGCAGATGACACAACCTTGCTTGCTAAAAGTGAGGAGGATTTGAACACCTGCTGATGAACATCAAGGATTGCAGTCTTCAGTAAGGGTTACAATCAATGTAAGGAGGACCAAAATCCTCACAACTGGATCAATGGGTAACATTAGGATAAATGAAGGAAAGGTTGACGTGACGTTGTCAAGGATTTTGTCTTCCTTGGATCCACAATCAATGTTCATGGAAGGAGCAGTCAAGAGATCAGAAGATGTATTGCATCAGGTAAATCTGTTACACAAGACTTCTTGACTGAAGAACAAGGATATTTCTTTGAGTATTGAGGTGCGTCTTACCCAAGCCATGGTATTTTTCATTGTATCATATGCATGTGAAAGTTGGACACTGAATATAGAAGACAAAAAAAGAATTGGTGCATTTGAATTGCGGTGCTAGAGCAGAATATTGAAAGTACCATGGACTGCTAAAAGGTTAAACAGGTCGTATATTGGAAGAAGCCAGGCCAGAGTGCTCCTTGGAGGCAAGGATGGTAAGACTTCCTCTTACATACTTTGGACATGTTGTCCGGAAAGACCAGTCCCTGGAGAAGGACACATCAGGTTTAGTTCAATGGGTGGCGAAGAAGAGAAAGGCCCTCGATGAGATGGATTCACATACAGGGCTGCATCAATGGGCTCAGGCATGGGAACAATCGTGAGGAGGGTGCAGGGCTGTGCAGTGTTTTGTTCTGTTGTACACAGGGTCGCTATGGGCCAGAGCTGACTTGATGGTACCTGACAACAACAACAACACCTTCCCTCCATAAAATAATGGCCTCACATTTTTTAATTTAAGGATGCAGTGCAGTCTTCAAGCAGAAGTCTACCTGTGGTGGTAGCCCTGTTATACCTGTTACGGTATCTGAGGCACCAACCACAAGTAAGTGCTCACGGTCCCAAGATTCCTTTGAACTCTCCATGCTCCCTTTCATTGTGAAACATAGCTTGGTTTGGACAATAAAGTATATGATTTTCCTTGGCACATCACTCCCCTCCAAAAAAACAGAAACCCCAAACCCTGGCCTTGTCCTCAAGTCAATTCTAATTCATGGTAACTTGATGTGTTACAGAGGAGGAATTAGCTCAACCGGATTTATATTTATTTTTGGCTATCATCTTTATGGAGCATTAGGCCTTTCCCTGTGGGACCGTGGGTGGGCTTGAATCAACCTTTTGGTTCATCTATCTGCAAGCAAATTGTTTGCACCGTCCAGGGCCCTATCTTAAGCACAGGCCGGTTAAAAAGATTTTTTTTTAATCCTCTGTAAAAATTCAAACAGAAGGTTTTAAAACAATCATCTTAAGTGATTTTTTTTATATATAGCAAAGAAAGACTTCAAGAGATAAATATTTTGGTATAATGGGTAACCTTTTTATTGTTTGCTATGATAAAAATTACTTAAAGTTCAGTCTCTTAGACGCTGAACTCACAAAAAGCAGATCATTTTAATCCTTTATTTTCTGCTCCCTACATAACACCATGAGGTAAGTGGGGATGAAGACAAAGGAAATGGGTTGTAGGAACTCAAATGGAAGCATGGAATTTTTCTTCTATAGAAACCATAGAACAAAGTATAATTTAATTCTATTTGTAGCATATAGTGGATCATTCAAATGATACTTTTTAATCTAGTTCAAATGTATTATTTATAAGGTTACTCACAGCTAATAGTCTAAATTTCAAAACTCAGATATCTAAATTAATTGCTGGAACACAATATATTTTTAAAGGAGTCTTTGTTACATATTTCTATTCCAATTTATATTAACTCACTTCCATGCACATTAGGTTCTGGCTCTGAATGAATGCGAGTTGCAAGGGAAGGATGGCACTGAGAGATTGAGACAGGTAGAGATGGAAGAGAGAGGGGAAGGATGGCACTGAGAGATTGAGACAGGTAGAGGTGGTGAGAGAAGGTGAAAAATTTAGAGTGTGTTTGGAAAACAATGACTAGTCTCATTTTGCTAAATATGGGGGATACAGAAACCCAGGAAATTCTTTCCTCTTAACACGTGTTCTCTTTGTGTTGGAAAATATCACAAAAATTAATCTTTATTTCTAATGAGATGCTCATTTACATAGTGAATGGTGGTATTAATACACAAGTAGATCTTTAACATATAAAAATAAAGCCTATGTAAACCTTAGAGAGAAAAAATTGTTGGTAATTTCAATTTTTAAATTTGTGAGAAAATTTAATAGAATTCTAAAGTAAAATTTCACTTGTACAATAGAAAAACTCCCAGTGTTTCTGGTAAGGTAAACATTTTGGTTACTGTTCATTCAACTCAGAAAACTTGGTCAAAAAATGTGAAAAGAGAGAGGGAACAATGGCATTAAATACTTCTGAAAAAAGTATTTCACTTCAATAACTGTGCAAGTACAGAGCTAACATCTAAAAAAAGCATAAAACCACTGCAAAATATGGAGAATAAAAATAGATCATAATACTTTATTGAGTATAAAGTGGAAGCAATTTGGACTTTGGAAAGCATTGCATCTTGTTTAGTTTTCCCCTGGGGATGAAAAAACTATAACGTCAGGAGGAGTGTTAAGCACTATGCACCCTGCTCTACATTCGGGGAAACCCGAGCAGCGCTCTCACAGCATCATGTTGGGGGCGACATACCAATGGTGCACTTGATGACCATGTTGCAGGAGCGACTTTCGGCTGCCAGTTGGCTCCACCTGTCAACTTCTTCTCCCCAGCATTCCACTGAAGATCTCCCCTAAAGTCAAGCACACAGACAAAGCAAAACAAAAGCAAGGCCACACAGACAAGTGAGATAGAACCACGTGTGGTTCCCTGGATTCCTTTCCTCTTGGGCTGCAGAGGACAGGTTCAGATTTACACGTCGAACTATATAGTACATTGCAGCAGCAGAAATTAACTGACACTGGGCAAATCTGCACAGGGCCTCTTTAAAGAATTCAAGAGGAACGATGTTCCTTTGAGGACTAACGTGTGACCAGGTCATGATCTTTCCCTTTGCCTGTATGCATGTAAAAGTTAGATAATGAATAAGAAAGACTGAAGAAAAGTTGATGACTCTGAATTATGGTATTGGTGAAGATTATTGAATATACCATGGGCTGTCAGCTAACAAATCTATCACGAAAGAAGTAAATCAGAATGCGCCTTAAACAGGAGGATGGCGAGCCTTCAGCTCACGTACATTGGACAGATTCTCAGGAGGACCAGTTCTTGGAGAGACATGTTATCTTGCATAAAGTAGAAGGCCAACAAAGAGACAGATTGATAGAGTGGTTTCAACAGTGGCCTCAAACCTAACAAGTGTGAGAATGGTGCAGGACAGGGTCGTTTCCTTTCGTTGGACATATGCTCAGTGTGAGTCAGAACCGATTAGATGGCATCTTATAACAAATCATAACATATATCTTCAAAAGCTTATAAGTCTTTGAAAAAATACCATTTATCATATGGACCTCAATGATAACAGGAAGTTTCTGTCATCTAAAATAGAAAATGGCCAGAAAAGGCAATGGGATGATCATACTCCTCCCTGGTTATAAAAAAATTCCAAGTAAGCATATCTCAAATACTATACACCTACATTTTATTGAATTTTAATGGACCTTTCTTGAACCTACAGTGTTCAACAGGTTTTCACACATCTATGTCATCAATCCAGTCTGACTCACAGTGATTATATGACATTGTTGTTAGGTGCCACCGAATTGGTTTAGACCTATAGTGACCCTATCTATGCGCAACGGAATGAAACGCTGCTGCGTCCTGCTCTGCCCTTACAATTGTTCTGATGCCCAAGTCCACTGTTGGAGCCACTGGGTCAACCTATCTTTTGGAGGGCCTTCCTCTGTAACACTGTTTACCAAACATGATGTCCTTCTCCGGGGACCAGTTTCTCCTGACATGTCCAAAATATGTGAGATGAAGTCTCGCCATCCTTGTCTCTAAGAAGCATTTGGGCTGCAGTTCTTCCAAGATAGATCTGTTTGTTCCTTTAGCAGCCCATGGCACTTTTAATATTCTTTGTCAGCACCGTAATTCAAATATATCAATTCTTCTTCAGTATTTCTTATTCAGTGTCCAATTTTCATATGCATATGAGGCGACTGAAAATACTACAGCTTGGGTCAGATGCAACTTAATCTTCAAAGTAACCTCCCTGATTTTCAACAACCTGAAAAGGACATGTATAGCAGACTTGGTGGTGTGATGGCTACATGTTGGCCTGCTAAACCCAAGGTCAACATATATATATATATATGTATGTATATATATATATAAAAGATATTATGTATTGTAAAATGCGCCCCAATTTCAAAGGTGTTAAAATATGCATCTACTAAAGGATACAGTGTTTATCATGATTAATATCCTGCTTTGAAATTGATACTCTATGAAAGTCTTTTAACCAATGTTACCTAGAAATACTGTAATGAATCTGGAATTTAAAGCTATAAAAATAGTTAAGCTATACGACTCAAATATTTCTAAATATAACAGTAACTTTCTTGGAGACTGACATGGATTCTTCCTTGACATTGTGGAGCAAGAGTTTGGAGGCTCCCGCAGAAAACTCAAAAACAAAACAAAAGTCACTTTTGCATTTGCCTAACTCAAGACTGTGTAAAACTATCAAGTGTAATGTTTGATATTCACAAGTAAACACAAAATGTCTAAAGGAAACCAAATAATTTTTAAATCACTTACTTTTTTGTTGTGGTACCAGAAATTCCAAGATCTAGGAATGAATAAAGTAAAAAATTATATAAACCTCTATGCACACCATGTATATACATACTTTGATACTTAGAAGATCAAAGAATTACAGATCTAGAACCAGGACTCCTCCTTGCTACATTTTGCATTTTGCGCAGACATGATTTCATTCTGGCAATATAAAGAGAAATATATACACACGTAATTTCTTTTACTTCACTTCAGAGGATCACATGTTAACGTCAACAGTGCGCATTCAAGAGCTACCCTAACAGTCCTGGGGCTGCTCTCTTAGAAATTTGAGGCTGACCCTTGTCTGGCATCGCAGACCTTGACTGGTAAACAAACAGTTCTCTATACCCACATAAAATCTCCCCTAAATGTCAAAAAAATGTTTAGTGTAGTTAATTCTATACTAAGAATATATATTGAGAATAAAGTTAATTTTGATGAAATCTTCCTAATGTAGTTTTTGTTTGGTTGCTTGTGTTTTATGTCTTTTATCTATTAAACCATTATCTAATCCAAGGTCATAAAGATTCAATATCTCGGTTTTCTTCCAGGAGTTGTATAGATATATTTCTTATATTTAGGACTTTAGTACATTTTTAGTTTAATTTTTGTATATGGTGTGAAACAGGGATCCAACTTCCTTCTTTTTCATATGGCTATCCAATTGGCCTAGCACCACTTGTTGAAAAGATTACTGGTATTCTTTTCCCATTGAATTGCTTTGATGGCCTTATCAAAGTAATTTTGCCATAGTTATATAGGTTTATTTATGGATTACAAACTCTGTTCCATTGATCTATGGATATTCAATATCTAGGTCTTCTTCCTAGATATTTCATATTTATGTATACAATGGCAGTATTATCTGTGAATACAGAGGGTTTTACTTTTTGCTTTCCAATCTAGGTGCATTTTACTTCACTTTTCTGTCTAATTTCCCTCGCTTGAACCTTCAGCACAAATTTAGTTAAGAGTCGTGGTGGTATGATGGGTTGTACGCTTGGCTGCTCATCCATGGTCAACAGTTTGAAACAACAATCATTGTTCGGGGAAAAGATGCGGCTTGCTACTCCCATAAAGATTTACAGTCTCAGAAAACCACAGGCACAATGCTACTCTGTCCTATGAGCTGGAGTCTCCTCAGTGGCAGTGAGTTTGAGAGAGAGAGGTATCCTTGCCCTTTACCTGATCCAGCGGTGTCAGTAAAGGAGTGTGGAAGGTGTGGATTACACCAGGTGACCCTGTCAGAAGAGGTGGTACCCAACTGACTGTCTATAATACTTTTTTTGCAGTGTTTCAGTAGAAATTTATTAATTTTCTGATAAAATTATCCTGAAGTTTGTAGCAATAAAATACTTTTCTTAAACCCAGCTTACATGTATCCATATACCTACCAGGCTAAAACTCTGCTAGTTTACTTTTTGAAACTTTTAATGTGCTTTGCTCAGGGCTATCAAAATTACCCCTTCACAGTGAGGTTTTGAATCACGTGGTTCCATCTGCACATGCTGGTTTGGGAGGAGGTTGGGGGCCAGGGAGAGCGTCAGCTGGAGTTAGAACACAGGTGAGACTAACCCTAGTGATGCCAAAGACATAGGCTGCCGGGGCAAGTGGTCAGCCTTGCACCATTATGTATGATGTTGGCCTGGGGTGTTTGGGTCGATACATTTCACCACGTGAATATCGTTCCTTCTTATTCCTAGTTTGTTGAGTGAGTTTATGTTTAAAGGATTTGGATTTTGTCAAATGCTTTTCTTTGTCAATTACAATGAACATATAGTGTTTCCTTTTTATTGTGCTTGAAAGATGTGTGTGTGTGTGTGTGTGTATAAAACCTTGGCCAATTACATTTTTATATTTATATGATCATGTGGTTTTGTTCCTTACTAATAGTACTTTGATTTATGTATGTTAGAACTTGCATTCTTTGGATAAATACCACTTGGTTATGGTGTGCAATACTTTTTATATGTTGCAAAATCTGATTGGCTAGTATTTCATTCATGAGTTAATTTTTGCATTATCTATATCAGCGGTTCTCAACCTGTGGGTAGCGACCCCTTTGGGAGTCAAATGACCCTTCCACAGGGGTCGCCCAATTGCTAACAGTAGCAAAATTACAGTTATGAAATAGCAACAAAAATAATTTTATGGTTGGGGGGTCACCACAACATGAAGAACTGTATTAAAGGGGTGTGGCATTAGGAATGTTGAGAACCACCTATCTATATAAATAAGGAATATTGATCTGTAACATCTTTAATTATGGTATCTTTTTCTGGTATTGTTACCAGGTGATACGAGCCTCACAGTTAGTTCTTAGGTTCCACTGAATTGGTTGATTCATAGTGACCCCTATTCCCAAAGAAGCCAAACCAACTCACTGCCATTTGAACTCTGAGTGACCTTATAGGGCAGGGTAGAACTATCCTTATGGGTTTCTGAGACTGCAACTCTTCAGGGGAGTAGAAAGTCTCAATTTTCTCCTCAGATCAATTGATGGTTTTGACCTGCTGTTAGTAGCCCAGCACATAACAACTAGAACACCAGGGCTGTCTGTGACCTCAAATACAACGGAACAAAACACTGCTCAGGCCTTGGCCATCTTCCCTCTATTGTTACGTTTGAGCCCATTGCTGTAGGCACTGTGCCTCAGAGAATGATCGAAAAAGATTCCTTCCACTTATATTACAGAGTTTGCAATTACTTGTGGTTATCTACATTAATATTTACTAGAATTCACCAATGAAATCATCTGGTCCTGAACTCTTTTTAAAAAAAATCATTTTATTTGGGGGCTCATACAATTCTTATCACAATCCATACATCCATCTATTGTGTCAAGCATATTTGTACATGTGTTGCCATCATCATTTTCAAAACATTTTCTTTCTACTTGAGCCCTTGGTATCAGCTCCTCATTTTCCCCCCTCCTTCCCCCACACGCCCTCCCTCATGAACCCTTGATAATTTATAAATTATTATTATTTTTTCATGTCTTACACTGACCAATGTCTCCCTTCACCCACTTTTTTGTTGTCTTAACCCCAGGGAGGGGGTTATATGTAGATCATTGTGATCGGTTCCCCCTTTCTCCCCCAATCTTTCACTTACCCTCCTGGTATTGCTACTCTCATTATTGGTCCTGAGTTTATCTGTACTGGATTCCCCATGTTTCCAGTTCTTATCTGTATCAGTGTACATGCTCTGGTCTAGCCAGATTTGTAAGGTAGAACTGGGATCATGATAGTGGGGGGAGGAAGCATTAAAGAACTAGAGGAAAGTTGTATGTTTCATTGGTGCTATACTGCACCCTGACTGGCTCATCTCCTCCCTGCAACCCTTCCGTAAGGGGGTGTCCAGTTGCCTACAGATGGGCTTTGGGTCCCCACTCTGCACTTCCCCTCATTCACAATATGATATTTTGTTCTTTGGTGCCTGATACCTGATTCTACCAACACCTCATGATCACACAGGCTGGTGTCCTTCTTCCATGTAGGATTTGTTGCTTCTCAGCTAGGTGGCCTCTTATTTATCTTCAAACCTTTAAGATCCCAGATATTATATGTTTTGATAGCCAGGCACCATCAGCTTTCTTCACCACATTTGCTTATGCACCTGCTTTGTCTTCATCGATCATGTTGGAAAGGTGAGCATCATGAAATGCATGTTTAATAGAACAAAGTGTTCTTGCATTGAGGGAGTACTTGAGTAGAGGCCCAATATCTGCCTGCTACCTCAATACTTAATGTATAACTATATGTACATAGATCTATTCTTCTATCGCTATATATAAATATATTTACATATTTGCATGCCTGTATTTAGACCTCTATAAATGTCCTTTGCCTCCTAGTTCTTTCCTCTATTTCCTTTTACTTTCCTTTTGTCCCACTATCATGTTCAGCCTTCCTTTGGGTTTCAGTAATGTCTCTCAGTTACATTGCCCTTGATCAAGCCCTACCAGGCCTCCTACACCCTCCTCGCCATTCATTTTGGATCACTTGTTGTTCCTTTGTCCCTGGGTTTGTTAACACCCACTTCCTTTCCCCCCCACCTCCCCCTCTCCCAATTCCCCTCCCCCCCACAACGGTTTTCTCCTACAGATTGTTTATTCCACCTATCTTATCTAGATAGACCTGTAAAGATAATAATATGCACAAAAAACAATACAGAGCAAAACAAAACAACAACAAAAAACCCAACAACAACAAAAAAGAAAAGCCTGTAAATAGTTCAAGGTCTGTTTGTTAACCTTTAAGACTGTTTTCTGGTCGAATCTGATGGGGTGCTACGTACTGGCCACAAAGTCTATTTTTGGTATTCCCTGGGGACTTCATTGCTCCATTCCCCTTGCTCTTTTTGGTGGGAGATTTGTTCTTTTCCTAAAAGAACTGTTATTATTATTATTAATTAATGTTTTGCTATAGGTATATTCAAATTTTCTATTTCTAATTGAGTTAGTTTTGATTGCTTGTGTCTCTCTAGGAGTGTGTCTATTTCATGTAGCTTATCCAACTTTTGGGCAGGTAATCATTCATAATATTTCCTTATAATATTTTTAGACTTTCCTTAAAGTTGATAGTCAAAGCCATATAGTTTCATTCCTGGTTTGTGTAATTTGAGTCTTTCATTTTTTTCCTGGCCAGTCTAGCTCTATGTTTGTCAATTTGGTTGATCTTTTCAAAGAATTTAGTTTCTTCTATTTTTTCTATTCTCTTATTTTATTTGTTTCTACTCTAAACTTTAATTCTTTCCTTCTGAATGATTGATTTTGGTCTAGCTCTACATTTTCTATTTTTTTAATGTCCAAGCTTAGATTACTAACTTAATATTTTTCTTTTTTAAAATATAGGCTATAGATTTCCCCCTAAATACTACTCTAACTGCATTCCAAGACGTTTAATATGTTGTCTTTTAAAAATTTCACTCATATGAAGTTATTCCCTAATGTCTCTTGTACATTTTTCTTTGATTCTTTGAGTATGCTATTTAATTTCTAAATATTTGTCAATTTTTAGAAGATCCTTATATTATTGATTGAACTTCATTCAGCTGTGGTAGGAGAACATGCTTCATACAGTTTCCAAACCCTTTAATTTATTCAAACTTAAATTGTGACCTAATTACACAAACCAGGAATGAAACTATATGGAAAAAATATATATGTGGTATTTATAGGTAGAGTGCGCTAAAGATTTCTGTTAAGTCTAAGGCTTTACAGTTTTGTTCAAGTGTTCTATTTTTATTTTTGCTGGTTTTCTGTTTAGTTTTTCTAATATTGAAAATAGGGTATTGACATCTCCAACTATTATATTTGAATAGTCTAATCTTATCTTCAATTCTGTTAGTTTTGGCTTCATAAATTTTGGATTCTTGTACAAGGAGCTCTGCTGATGTAGTGGATTATGCATTTGGCTGCTAACTGCAAGCTCAGTAGTTTGAAACCATTAGCCACTGCAAGGGAGAAAGCGGCTGTCCGCTCTCAGAAGGACTCCACAGCCTCTGAAACCCCAGGACAGTCCGCTCTGTCTTACAGGGTTGCTATGAGTTAGAATCAACTCACTGGCAGGTTTTGAGTTGTTATATAATCTAAACATGTTAGTAACTGCATTTCTTCCTGAGAAGCTGACCGTTTTATCACCAGAAATTTTCCTTCTTAAGCTCTAATATTTTTTCTTAAGTGCATTTTTTTTCTGATAGTAAAGCCACTGCACCTTTCTCATAGCTGGCCGTTTGTGTGGTATTCCTTTTCCCATCTTTTCTGGCTGACTCTACTTATATCTTTGAATCGAAAGTTTGTCTCCTTTAAAGGACATGTACTTGGGTAGATTGCTTTTTTAATCCAGTCTGACAATCTCTGTCTTTTGATGGTATTGTTTAATTCAGTCCCATTTCATGTTGTTATTGCTATTGTATTTATGTGTGGCATTTTCATTTTTATGTCTCACATCCTATTGTTTCTCTATTCCTCCTATGTTGCCATACACTACTCTCACTTTCTTTGAAAATTATTTATGTCAATTCTATAATAGGATCTAACAGCTCTATGACAAATATTATAATTTTTATAAATAAAATACATTTGTTATACATTTTTAGTCAATCACAACCCTCCCTCTATGAAGTATTTTCCTAAGTGTGCAATGCTATTTTTTTTACATGCTGCTGTAAAAGTTAGCATAGCATGCTTATGAAAATATCTCATGGAGGGAAGGCATGGTTGGCATAAAGATGCATAACATGTGTTATCGTGTAAAAATATGGTGTTTATTTACATTTTCTTAAATATTTCTTCATTTTCTATGTACCCTTAGGACAACCTGTAGGAATTTTATATAATCTCAAAAAACACTTTTCACCAGTTAAATACGAGAGGGATAGCCTCCCCTTACAGTCTCCGTGTCTGAGTTTGAGCTTCCTGGTGAACACATTTGAAGGTGACTTCACTGGTTGGAGCCTCCCCAAGTCCGAGCAGCCGGACAGGTCTTTACATCCCCTGATCATTCAGCCACTGGAGCTCACTGATAGGTGAAGCCGTTTCTTTAGCTGTGACAGTTCTCCAAGGGAGTTGACTGCAGAGGGTCATATGCACACATATAACAGCTGGGACATAAGTCCTTGTTGTCTGAAGGGGAACCAGGGTGGCAATACATAATGAAACCCACTAACACCTATCACCACGGCAAACTATGCATTAGTAGTAACAAATTTCACCGTGGGCAGAATTATTCAGATAAAGTTCATGAAAGTACTTGGAGGCTTCACCTAATTAATAATAAAACGTTACAACAAATAAACTAAAACACAAGCATTTTCATGTATGCCAGACCCGGGACAATAAATGTGAGAGATGAAGTTCTCTACTGGAAAATGAGTAGAAAAAGAAGTCACACAGGTCAGTAATCTGCTAAATTTCAAATATTGCCTTGAATAAAATGAAAAATATCTGAACGCCAAACCCATTCTCTATAGCAGAAAATCAAATTCGGAGTTAAAAGCAAAGACAAATGTATAAGAAACCCTACATGCTCCTACATTGCAATTGTGTGCCATAACCCTCTGCCCATATCTCCTAGAATGCCCTCAATTACCATACATACTCATGTATAAGCCAAGTTTTTAGCACATTTTCTATGCAGTTTCTGTGGCAAAATTAGGTGCCTTGGTTGATATTTGGGTCGGCTTATACTCGAGTACATACAGTACTTATTCAGCTTCAGTCACTAGTTCATTTTTTATTTCTTGGACACGCCAAGCAATCTACTGCCCCAGTGCCTTTTGGATAGCCAAGATTTTCCCTCTGATATCCACACGCTTCACTCATTTCTCTTTACCCCCTTATCTCCTCGGCGATACTTACTCTAGCTCCCACTTGTCAGGACCCCAAGGCACATTTTCCTGATCTACTTCCTCCTCAGGACATGGCACTCATGATACAGTGCATTACAAATGTTATTCATTGAGTTTTAGGTTTGCGTGTGCCCTTCCTAGCTTCATAAGAAACGAGGTTTCTGTTTGTTCACTGATTTGTCTCTGGAGCTGGAACAACACATGGCACTAGATAAACATTTGCTGAGTGAATGACTGAAACCCACTTGAATGCTCAACTGGTAGCCATTGGATGCTAACTGGAAAAAGTAAGCAAAATATGTCATTCTCTGTTCTTACTTCCAAATGAAGATTTAAAATGAAGTACTTATTACACATATTACACAATAGTTTACATTTGTATGTGCTCCCTAATTTAACCGTTGGTCATTTAGATTAAAAATGGCCTTAGTGGTAGACAATGGTACAGAGACTATTTATCTTCCAAGGAATTTCTCTGACCTCTTCTTGATACACTTAGTCAGAGAACCTATTTCCAAATCTGGAAATAAAACATACCAAAGGATGCAGAAACCATTCATATATTTTAGTTAATGACAACTCCATTACTCACTGCCTACTAAGCTGGCAAGAGACGAATCAAGATCACTCCCCAGGGCTTTGCTTGCAGCCATTGCGGGACTGGGCGGTAGCACTGACACAGGCGCAGGCTGCCCGGCGGGTACCATAGTTGGCATCAGAAGATCACCTAGGCCGTCAAACACTGGAAATCAAACAGACCCAATTCAGAACAATTGAGAAACCAAAGCCTACAGGCAAAATGAATGTTAACTTGTCTTCTGAAAAATTACGGACACAAATGAATATATGACATCACAAGAGAAGGCATGGAGTTCACACTTTCCACAACTACAGAACTAAAGAAGGACATGTCTAATGTCTACATATGTTTACCCGCAGGGTATGGAAATACTAATGACCATGGACAAAGATGAACGAAAGTTCTGGGTGATGTACAGAAAAGAGCAGACTTCGGAGTCAGAAGTGGGCTCAGATTAGGCCATTAGCCTCACCGACTTTGATAAATTACTCTCACTTGCAAATGGGGAGAGCCCCACTAATGCACATGACTTTGCTGTGAAGCTACATTAGATAATACATGCCATCTCGTCATTATCATGCTTATCCGGTACAGGCACTCAACAAATGGTAGCCATTGTTACTTTTACAACCACTAAAGTTCTTTTGGGTCAAATAGTGGTGATTTATGGCAGAATCTAATAATTTGCGCTGTTAAAATACTTATTTTTTCATGAGAAAAAAAGACCAATTCTCTTAGTTTGCTATGAAATTCAAATCATTATAAAAATTGGTCTAGTGGGAAGCACCTAGGAGTGAGTGTCTGAAAAGCAGTGGGCCATATTTTATAAGAAAGAATTTTGATGCTTTTTGTTTTGTTTCATTACAGTAAATCACTTTGGTTCTACCTTTAAGGGCATAGTTAAAGTGAGCATTATTTTATGTGTAGGAATCCTGTGGCATTGTTGATAGTTATTAATTATCACATGAAAAATCACCACTTGGGAATGTCTAGTTCCTAGAATACAGCAAGACCAGTAAAAAATGCAGACTCACATGATTAAAATAAGACACTATTAATATCTTAATTTTTCAAATCAGGTTTTGTGTTATTAAACATCATCTTAAACACTACATATACATACTATAAATGCTACCATACAATAATTCTAAATTGAAAAAGGACAGCATTCAACGAGGCGCTGGCAATAGAAGCAACCAAACTGTCAGGCAGGGGATATATTTAGGGTGTTTCTGAAACACATTTAATTGCCAAAAACTCACCAATTGAAAATTTGTAGTAAGGAGCCAGCATGGGAAGAGTAGAATGGAAGAGAATACAAACAAAATGACAGCAGTGATGAAAGGTTAAAGGCAGGCAAAGAATACTGTTTGTGTCTCAACTTTATAAAACCGAGGGCCATGCAAGCTTCAGAGGGGCATAAGCAAGAGCAAGGGGAGTGTCCACGCATTCAGATACTCTAAAAAGATTTAGTACAAAGTAGGTGTTTTCCCTTAACCATCACTAAATTGCGTGCATGTTAAGCTCATGCAAACAAATGGTGTGCATGTTAAGTTAGATTTCTGCTAAAAATTAATAGAAACGCTGAAAGGGATTGCAGGCTACTCTTAAAGCTACCAAAAAAACAAAACAAAAAAAAACCAACCAAGATTTATTCTAGTTACAGAATGAAAAAGATACGTATAGATATATTTTAAATTAGGAGACCATTCCACATTTGCTTGTTGTAAATTTCATGATCCCTTACTAACTTGCAATGAGGCATTTTATTTATCAAAACAAATAGAAAGGTTGTTTGACTATTACTGCCTCACCTGATGGATCAAATGAGCTGCTGCTGGAAGTTGAAGGCGTTGCCCCAAAAGCTGCTTCAAAATTGGGTTGTAGCAGGTTATTCTGAGCTGGAGTCACTGGTGATGGAGAAGGGGCCATGAAAGTACCCCCAAATCCTGAAAGAAAAAGTTCCAGAAAGATAGAAGCCAAAATAAGTAGAGATGGGGAAAGGTCCATACAAACAGCATCAAAGAAAGTCTAAAAGGAATTGAAAACACATGGATGAGAAGTTAAGGAAAATCTGGGAAGTTAAGTTTTGAAAAGTTATTCAAGATCTTGATATCTGTTGTGCTTTAACAGAAGATGCAATATGTTCATTAGAAATAAGATAGAACTGAAGACTACAGACCTTTATGATGAGAACCCCTGGCAACCAAACCATTTGTTACATGTGGCACATGGAGCGAAGAAGGCAATTCCAGGGTTAAAATGCAATGACCTATTCTTAATGACATTTGAATTTTGTCCCTTTTAATCAAATGCCAAGTAGCTGGAAAGTGTTTATTTGCACACATTGGAGCAGTATAATAATAACATACAAAACAGAAAAATACATATGTTCTCTACCACCAAATCTTTTTTAGGGTCTTTCTAGCCCCACTGTTAACCCTGAATTCAGGCTCCCCAACACAGCTGCTTAAATTACATGAACAGCTACCTGGTGCCTAGAAGTCCATCTCTTGCCTGGATTTGGCCTAATCCAGTCTCTGCAGTGCAGTCAGAGTGATTGTGTTTTGAGTGCATTTGGTGAAGTTCTCTAAAATCCTCATTGGCTCAGCAAACTTTTTATATCGATAGTGCAAATTCCTTTGTACAGCGTTCACACACTCTTATCTTTGCCCTTTGCCCGCCTCTCCACAGCTGAAAAGGACTCTGTAGACATAATCCTTCACTTCAAATGTGTCCGGTATCAACATGAGGAGGACAGCCTTATCCTCATGCAGCCTCCTATTGCTATATGGAGACCCCACTCCTTCACTAAGCTATGTGCTTTGCCTCTGGACCTTCCCCTGGAGCATATCTCACCCTACTCCAAACACACTTCTTTCTCCTCCCAGGGTTGGCTTTGATGGTCAGGAATTACATCTTCTCTTACTATTCTTTCCATTAATATTCAGCACAATGCCTAAAGCATTCATTTAATATTTATGGAAGGACAATTTTGAATTAAAAGATAAGCAACAAAATTATTGTAAAGTAATCAAACTTTTAAATATTTGTTTTTTGAAGGCTGGAATAATTTCCCTCAATCCATAGAAAGAAGCAGAATCACAGGCAACCTTGCAATGATGCCTGTCCAAAAACAGGCAACCAAAGGAAGTGAGAATGTATGAGGGGACTCAAACAATCGGTGGAAATGTGCATTTAAGGATAATGGGTTATTTCCTCGAACTTGTTGAAGCTGCTCAGATTACTATCAGAAGTGCTTCTTATGTTACATTGGGAATATCTCACTGCCATAGAGTCAATGTGTGCTCATAGTGACTCTACGAGAGAGTAACTTTTAAGCGTGGGTTTCCGAGAGGGTCACTCCTTTAATGTGAGTGGGAAGTCTCCTCTTTCTCCTGGAGAGTCAGTGATTGGTGGTTTCAAATTGCTGACCTTGCGGGTAGCAGCCCAGTGAGTAACCACTACACACCAGGACTCCTCAGACGGGGTTTATTGTCCTTTCAAGTCTATAAAGAGCCTTTCTCTTTTACAAGCTGTTCATAAATCAAGAATGGTCTTAAACAATTCTTAATTGTCCTTACATAACATCAGTTCATAATTTGTAAACTAACTTCTATTAAAGATTTTCAGTTACTATTTCCTAAAACAACTGTTTCTGGAAGTGACATAACACGGATTGAGGCTAGTCTTACATTCTTGCATGGAAATATTGCTCTTTGGGGAAAGTATTAACTTATCAGATGACGGTCACTAGTCTTTAAAGCTGAGGAGGCTACTTTGAGTAATTGAGTAATCGAATGGCATACTTACCATTTAACTCTCCTTCTGCAGAAAAGAGATTCTTTAGTGCCTTAATATTATTATGAAGCACAGATGAACCAAAAGTAATTATTTTTGTGACAATGATAGTTTTAATTTTAAGTAGCGAAGATCAATGGCTGTTAATTAATATCTTTTATTTTAGTTGGAAGACAGTTATGGTTAATTTAGGAGATTGTTCTGTGGTGTGGTTCTCTTTTTTATAGATGAATGTGGACACTGAATTTGAACTGAATAAACTTGAATAAAGTTTAGTTCACTGTAATGTTTCCCAAAGGGGTAATACTGCCCCCTAGGGGTGCTGGAATGACCCAGTGGGGCGGGGCGTGGGGGCGTGGGGAGAGGCTTGCTAAAGCAGTTATCTGCTACCCTTTATCCTGGAGTATGGACTATAGTACAAAAGTATTTAACTGTCAGGAGGCCATTTTTTGTCCTGAAAAGGGGTGGTAGGCCAAGTTTGGGCACCTCTGATTTTGAGGAACAGCAGTTGATTTTTTTTCTTTAAGATAATGAGTTGGTTATTTAATATCACTTTTCAGTTTTTATTAATCTAGGCTTGTGAGAAGCTTGCTCCAAGGCCACTGAGTATAATATGGGAATGAATGAATTTGGACCAACAAAAACAGTAATTTTATATGGCTTAACCTAAAATATGTATTAGCTCATTTAATCCTTACAACAACCCCATAGGTTTTCAAAGACGGAGAAACTTGTGGGCCAGAAAAGTTCAATAATCTATCCAATGTCACAATGAGGGCAAACCAGAGTCAGAATTCTACATAAGAATTTCCCAGAACCTGGGCTCTTCATACTATGAGGCTCTTCCCCACAGCCAGGAGCAATGGCGGGGTTGGACCCTTCTTAAAAGCTATAAATTTGAGAGAAACGTGACCAGGTGACTCTTCACATTTCACTAACTTCGTATGGAGTAGCGCCTCTCGTAAACCTAGAATAACCCAAACTATAAAGCGATATAAAATGACCAGCTGATTATCTTAAAGAAAACAACATACCTATTTATCCTAAAGGAAGAACTAGACAGGAAAATAGTAGCCCTTAATAAAGAGTCTGGGATATTCCGCCTGTTAAGTAATTAAAAGTTTTATAAACTGGAATAACGGTAAGAAATAAGGAAACCTATACCATTTATCTTTCTCTATGACTCTAAATTATAGTAAGGAAGATGTCTTATGGAATCGAGAATAAGGTAGTGATCCGTAGGTTGTTGGCTCTCTGGCAAGTACACTTGAATTTTTCTACATTACAATTGAATTGCAATGTTCACGGGATAACCCACAGTGCTTTTTCTTTCATTTTAGATGAGGAACGCATCTAAAGGGAAACAGCCTACACACTTGTGAAGCTCTAGTGATAGACGGATCAAACTGACAGTCATAGTCTATGGATCAAGTCATATCATTTGGGTTGGAAGAATCAAATTCTAAAACTGTTGGTAGATAAATACACTCCCACACATCCCACCTCCACACTCACATTTGCTTTATTATGCTAAATACCTAAAGATGATAGAATTTCATTATTCTCAATGGTACAATTAGTTGTCAATATATTCCACCCGCTAAGATAAATCTGAAATAGTCAGTATACCTACAGTAAAGCTGCAGATGAATAGAAACTTTGTCTGAAAACTTCCAGGCTGTTTCCCACCCCCACGCAAAATGGGTGGGACTGGTTCTCTGCAGACCTTTGCATTTAGGGGAAGTTATTCATTATTAATTTCAGACTGAACAGTTTTGTATTTTAAATTCCATTCAAGGAGTTTTGTGGCACTGCTAAAAAGTCACGGTATGATGTGGCTAGCAGGGAATGTGAGACTGCAGAGGGCCTTGTGAAGGTTGCCCGCGGTCTGCCCTTCCTTTGGGTCAGAGGGCACATAAGCAATGAACTGCCTTTGGGTGACTTCACACTTATAGTAGCCCTGTATAGGATCTGAGACTGTATATCCTTGGGGGAGCAGACAGCTTCATCTCTCTCCTGAGGAGAGGCTGCTGGATTTGAACTGCTGACCTTATGGTTAGCATCCAATGATAAGCCCATAGAGTATGGCAAATTACGTGTGTCTATTGTGGAAGGACACAGACTGTCCACTGCTGAATATTTCTCTTTGAACTCTTTAGATGAAGCTTTTTGGTACACATGTTGTTATCACGTGCCGTAGATAGAGCCCCCATGAACAATGGACAAGGAACTAATCTCTAAAACATATAGAAAACTGCAAGAAGTTAGGGATATCCCTTAACTTACCCCATTTCCCTCACAATCCATTTTTATGTATGACACCGAGGGACTTTTCTATCTTCCTAATAGCTGCTTTCAGATAATGTATCATTTTTTAAAAAATTTGATCAGTTCCCTTGGTTTCTTTTTGCTTGTATTAAAGTGTTTTTTATTTGAATAAAGCGGGGAATCAGGTTTGAAATCATCCGTTCAAACCACTCATCAACCCCCATCCCCATATTCTGTCCTGCCCCCTGCCCCCCATCTCCTGAAGTTTGTTTTGTCTTATGGACTTCTGTCTTCCTTCACACCCAAATCCAAACTTGTCAAACTTCTAATCCATCTTCCCACCCTTGCCCGACTTCTTTTGGCATGCCAGTTTTTGTTTTGGTTTTTATCCACACAGTGCTGATCTTATGCAATATTTGTTCTTTTGTGTCGACTACGGTAACTTCACTCAGCTTAATGTTCTGCAGATCCATCCGTGCCATGAGGTTCTTCGTCATTCCAGTCTTACTTTTTCAGTGATGCGCAGTTATCTGTTGTGTGTTTGTACCTTTAGCTATTTATCTACCGGTGGACTTTTGGGTTGCTTTCAGCTTCTTGCTATTGTGAACAGTGCTGTGATGAACATGGGAGCCTGTGTTTATCCGTGCTACTCTTCTTCTTTAGGGTATAAACTCAGCAGGGATATTGCTGGATCAGATGGGATTTTCATTCCCAGTTGTTTGTGGTAGCATTCCACAATGATTATACATATTTTCAGACCCACTTATGGTATATTAGCATACCAATCCCTCCTCACTATCTGTCACATTTACACTTGCTGTTTTCTGATTTTTTTGAATTGGGCTGTCATTGTTGGTTTAAGATAATATCTCACAGTTGT